CTGAAAGTGTAGTCCAAATAATATAACCATAAGTATAAAATATGGGACTGAATGCAATGCCAGTGAGGGGTGAGCCTGCTTCACAGAGTGGGAGCCACGAGCGAGTCCCTGCATATCTGAGTTCACATTATCTCAGGGTTTTGGGGTGTAGCTGCCTGAGTCTGACCAACCTAAGGGGCAGTCAAATCAGAAGCCTACATTTTTTAAAGAATTATTTACTTAATTATATGTATTCATTCATTTATTTTAATTTGACCAGAGAGAGAGAGAGAGAAAGTGAGAAAGAAAGCCACCAGGTCCAGGACTCGAACCATGGTTGGCCATGTAGGAGTATCGAGTGCCTTAACCACCATGCCACCTGCTGCTCCCTAAGAAGCCTACATTTTATTTATTTATTTTTTTTTTTTTTGAGAGGTTTTTGCTATAGGGTGCGTGCGCTCGCCAGGCAGACAGAGAGAGACATAGAGACAGAAAGCGAGAAATCACCCCCCAGGGGGGATGGTCATGCCGCAATCCCTTCTCCTCCATTCTCCTCTCGGGATCTTGGGCACGCACACGCGCCCGGCGTGAGTTTTAAGCCACCGGGTCCGGGATGCAAACCGCGGTCGACTACGTGGGAGTCCAGCGACATAGCCATTACGCTAACTGCTGGTTCCCTATTTTTTAATTTCAGAAAAAAAAAAATGCCCTTAAGGGACCAGCAGATGGTGTAATGGCTATGTGGCTGGACTCCCATGTAGTCAACCGCAGTTTGAGTCCCGGACCCGGTGGCTTAAACTCAACGCTGGGCATGTGTGTGTGCGTGCCCAAGATCCCGAGAGGAGAATGGAGGAGAAGGGATTGTGGTGTGGTCATTCCCCCGGGGGTGATTTCTCTGTCTGTCTCTGTCTTTCTGGCGAGCACATGCACCCTATAGCGAAAACCCCTCAAAAAAAAAAAAAAATTAATCTGGGGCAGCGGGGCTTCTTTTAAAATGAGGTCAAGAAAAGATTTGGGGGAAAGGAGGTAATGCCTACTCACCATTATACTCTTTGTCCTGCCTCATGACTTCCCAGACAGAGCTATATATAACATAAACTAGCTTAAATATGTGAATACATTTATTATTGCCGTCGTTCTTTCTATGACATTCATTTAAAAATATCCAAGACTTTCCAGCCCTTCTCCATTTCTTCCATATGTGGTACAGTAATAAATAATGGTGCATACTTTAAATACTTTTTCTAATAATACCAATAATGGGGGCTCAATGGAGAGAGTTTGGAAAAGTCTACCCACATATTAATAACATCATTTCTTCTGGTCTTTTTTTTTTAAGAATTATTTATTTAACTTTATTTATTCATTCGTTCTTTTTTTTTTTTTTTTGGAGAGATTTTCACTGTAGGGTGCGTGCGCTCGCCAGACAGACAGAGAGAGACAGAGAGACAGAAAGCGAGAAATCACCCCCCAGGGGGGATGGTCATGCCGCAATCCCTTCTCCTCCATTCTCCTCTCGGGATCTTGGGCACGCACGCACACGCGCCCGGCGTGAGTTTTAAGCCACCGGGTCCGGGACACGAACCGTGGTCGACTACGTGGGAGTCCAGCGACATAGCCATTACGCTAACTGCTGGTTCCCCGTTCATTTATTTTTAATTTACCAGAGAGAGACACAGAAAGAGAAAGTAGGCCACCAGGTCCAGGACTTGAACCCGTAGTCAGCCACATGGGAGTGTCCAGCACCTTAACCCCCATGTCATCCGCTGGTTCCCACCCCCCCAGTCTTTTATATAACTTATACATACATTGTTTCTCTCAAAACAGGGTGATACTGTACATACTATTTTATAGTTGATTTTATTTCAATGTATTTCTTTCTTTCTTTTTGGAGAAGTTTTTGCCATAGGGCGTGTGCGCTCATCAGACAGACAGAGAGAGACAGAAAGCGAGAAATCACCCCCCAGGGGGGATGGCCACACCACAATCCCTTCTCCTCCATTCTCCTCTCGGGATCTTGGGCACACACGCACACACGCCCGGCATGAGTTTTAAGCCACCAGGTCCAGGACTCAAACCGTGGTCGACTACATGGGAGTCCAGCAACATAGCCATTACGCTAACTGCTGGTCCCTCAATATATTTATTTCTTCCATGAAAGAGACAGAGCACCTCCCAAAGGGTCCTAACACCCGATTCTCCCCAGCTTCAGCCAGCCCTGGATCATGGCACACATGTGCCTATCACCAGATGTGAATCCAGAACTTTCTCACATGAATCAGCTTCTCAGTATGTCAAATTCAAAAATGAAAGAAACAAACAAACAAACCTGGGGACCGTCCCTATCTCTTCTCTTTCTCTCCCTCCCCTTTTGAATCCACCAGCAAATTCAGTAACTTTTATCTTCAAAGTGTATCTCAAACCCATCTCTCCAGGGCCACCATTCTAGTCCTGCAGCAATATTTTAATGGATCTCACCTTGCATTTCTACCTGCTTCATTCCTGTGCCCCCAAAAAGCCAGGGCAATCTTTTTTGTTTTTTTTTTTAGCTTTTGTTACAGGGCATGTGCACTCACCAGAGGGAGACATGGAGTGAGAGAGAGAGAAAGTGAGGAACCCCCCCCTCACATACCCAGGGCAGGGGTCGGGGATGGCCGAGGCCACGCCACTATCTCTTCTCTTCCATTCTCCTCTTAGGATTTTGGGCACACACACATACACACCCAATGTGTCTTTCAAGCCACAGAGTCTGAGATTCAAACTGTGAATTCATCCATGTGGAATCCCTGTGGGATCCAGACACCTTACTGACCATGCCACAGGCTCGCCTCAGAGCAATCATTTAATGTAAATCAAATCAAATCACTCTCTGCTTAAAACCTTCAATGACTTCCAATGCAGTTGAATAAAATCTAAATTCTCACCACTCAGGATCCTTGTATCCAGCAGGCACTCTTAGCCCACTGCCCGGGGGCTGAGAAAATTTCAATAAACTATTAAAAAATGATTGGGGGGGACCAACAGTTGCATAATAGCTATGTCGCTGGACTCCCATGTAGTCGACTGTGGTTCGTGTCCTGGATCTGGTGGCTTAAAACACGCAGGGCGTGTGTGAGTGCGTGCCCAAGATCCTGAAAGGAGAATGAAGGAGAAGGGATTGCAGCATGGCCATCCCCCGTGGGGGGGTAATTTCTCTCTTTCTGTCTCTGTCTCTGTCTGTCTGGCAAGCACACGTGCCCTATAGCAAAAACCTCTCCAAAAAAATGAGGGGGTGGAGGTGAGACCTGGCTTCAAAAGATACAAAGTCGAAATGGATAAATATTTGTGACTACTTAATATAACAACAGGTCAACTAATCTGAAATTTCAACTCAGCCTTTAGGTAGTTACTTACATATTTTAATTTGCTAGATTCATTGTGGAATTGGTTTCCCCCAAATAGGAGAATCTTTCCAGCTGTTTCCCTTTCCCTCAGCCCTTCTTCTGACTGGCTCCTTCTCTATCAGTTCTCAAATTAAATAGGCCTCCTCGGGACCCGCAGGTGGCGTGGTGGTTGAGGGCGCTGGACTCCCACATGGCCAACCATGGTTTGAGTACTGAGCCTGGAGGCTTTCTCTCTCTCTCTGTCCCTCCTTGGTCAAATTAAAATAAATAAAGTTAAATAAAAAATAATTCTTAAAAAAAAATTAAATATGGCCTCCTCAAAAGGACTTTCATGATCAATCAATCCATCTAAAGTAGCTATCATAAACATGCATGCAATGCACGCACACTCCCCCTTTATTCTCTGTAGTCTTATTTCCTCCATAAGACTGCTCTCACCATCTGCAGATACTCTGTCCGCTTATTCTACCTTTCCCATTAGGGTAATAAACTCCATTAAGGCAGGAAACAGGTGTCTGCGCTCTGTCCTATCCTTCCGGCCTATTCTAGTGCCTGCTCACAGCAGGCTTCAATATACAGTTCTCACAGCAGGCTTCAATATACAGTTACTGAATGAACGAATACATGAATGAGAACTTAATCTTCAAAGGAAAACTTAATCTTCTAGAAAGCTTAATCTCGGGAACCAGCAGTCAGCGTAATGGCTATGTCGCTGGACTCCCACGTAGTCGACCGCGGTTCGTGTCCCGGACCCGGTGGCTTAAAACTCACGCCGGGCGCGTGTGCGTGCGTGCCCAAGATCCCGAGAGGAGAATGGAGGAGAAGGGATTGCGGTGTGACCATCCCCCCTGGGGGGTGATTTCTCGCTTTCTGTCTCTATGTCTCTCTCTGTCTGGCGAGCGCACGCGCCCTACAGTGAAAAATCTCTCCAAAAAAAAAAAAAAAAAAAAAAGCTTAATCTCCAAGCTAGAAAGATTTGTCTTGGACTCCATCTTGAGAGGCTATAAGCGCTCGTCTTCCTTTGATTCTACGCAGATAGGTTTAATAAAGAAGGCTTGGAGGTGTTTTTCCGGCAAACATTTTGATGAAAACTTGTGTAACTAACCCTATTGGGGTGGGGGTGAGGAGAACAAAAAATTGGCTCAAAACTAGGCGGAGGGAATGGAAGACGAGGAAGATGTGTGTGACTCGCCAGATTTGGGTTCCTGGTTTGCACCCTCCCACCCCTCCCCAGACAGTAACGGTTCCAGCCCTTTCCAGGCGTCAACTGGGAGAGAAATAACTGTGGCTTAAGCCACCGTCTTTTATTATTCATGAGAAGGAGGGCACTATGGAAACTGAGATTGCTTGCTATTCATGAGGAGGAGGAGCCTCCTTCCCGCTGGGGGTCCTGGGAGGATCTAAAATATTCATGAGGGAGGCGGGCCCACAGTGGGAGGGGAACCGAAGCGCTTGCTATTCATGAGGGGCGGGGCCTCCTTCCCCCTGGGGCTCCTGGGAAGACCTAAAATAGTCCTGAGGGAGGCGGGCCCACGGTGATTGGGGGCGGGGTCGCTTGCTATTCATGAGGGGGCGGGGCCTCCTTCCCGCTGGGGCTCCTGGGAGAGTTCTAAATTGTCCCTGAGGGCCCGGGGCGTCCGGGGAGGCGGGAACGCAGCTCCGGAGCTGAGCGGAGCCGGACCCTCCCACATCCCGGCGACGAATCCTTGAGGAGAGACTTCCTTTATGAAACATTAGGAGATTTGAGGATGACGGGCCAAAACGCCTAACTCTCATTTTCCTGTGATTCTTTAACCGGAAAACTGTCAAAATCTGTGGTAAAAAGAGGGTTTTTTTTTTTTTTTTCCTCCAGTGCTTACTCGAGGAGATTATAATGTCATCGTTTTATGGACTGAGGGGGGGGTAAAAAAATGTGGTTCGAGTCTCAGACTAGCCAATTATTCCTTCAGGTCTCCCTAGTTGACCTCGTGGAGATGTTTTGGGCTGGTACCCGAGCAGGTGGGGTGTTTCTTCAGAGGGTTTGTGTTCGAGCAGAACACGTCGCGGCCAATGGTCCTTTTTCTCTGGGGTGGGGGGACTCATCCCCCGGGCGCTCGAAACCTCTCACTGGGTCAGAAATTAGGGACGGAGCAGGACCTGGACGCGTCCTTCTATGACTCGTTCCATTTGTGATTCTCATTCTCTAGAAGGATGAAGGAAGGAAGCCAGAAATCACTTGGGATCCTGCGGGATTACACCTTTAGGATTTTCAGAAAAGCCTGTTTCCCCCAACACGTCCAGTCCTGAGTAAGGAAAATAAGGAATTTTCAGAGGAGATGAGTTTTAAAAGAATTTGGGCTCAGTTATTTAATCTTCTCAGAGGTTTAAAAATACATGTACTCAGGGGCTGACACCTGGAGTTCCTGGTGTCAGGGAGTCTTTGAAGACCCCGCAAGGCCCCACCCAAGTGCCACTGCACAGGGTTCCTCAGAGAAACAGGACAAATCCTATGCCAGATTTCTACTTTATTATCATGAAAATGCTTTTTAAAGACAACCCTGTGGTTTAAATAAATTAGGATTCCTCCACTTGGTGGGATTATACCCAAGCCTTAAAATATATATACTTGCAGAAATGTATTGACAGGCCTGGAAAGGAGATTCACTGAAAAAAGCAGATTACAAAGTAGTGTGATTATGATTAGGATATATATATACATGTAAAATTATAGATTAATATAAGCCACAATGTGATTTTCTTCTTTTTATTTAACTGGGTTTTTTCGTTGTTTCTTTTTTTAGTTTTTGCTATAGAGTGTGTGTGTCCCTGCCAGGGAGAGGAAAAGTGAGAAATCACCCACTAAGGAAGATGGCCACACTGCTGTTCCTTCTCCTCCAATCTCCCCTTGGGAATTTGGGTACACATACACAGGCATTCCAGGTCCTGGACTTGAACCATGTAGCCAGCCATGTGGGATACAGTACTTTGATGTCCGTACCACCTCCTGGTCCTATTTCAATGTGTTTCATAAACTTTTTGATGTTGCTTATGAAATATTAATAATTATTTTAAAATACCTACTAAATTAAACTTCTCACTGGATGCTAAAACAAAGTGCTTATGGTACAGTTTTAGAGGTTAGATGGGGACTGGCAGGTGGCATGGTGTTTAAAGGCCCTAGACTCCCACATGGCTGACCACAGTTTGAGTCCCAGACCTGGCAGCTTGTTTTCTCCCTTTCCCTTTGCCTGTCTCTCTATGGTCAAATTAAAAAATAATAACAAATGAAATTAAATAAATAATTCTTTTTTAAAAAAGGTTAGATTACGCTTTCCACTAAGCAGTAGATTTCTTTGTTACATTTTCAGATATATAACTAATTTTGAATTGGTATATATTCATATGTAACCTTTTAAAATGCTTAGTAACAGTGTGATTTTAGCAATTTTATACAGGTAGGAGAAGATGTGTTTTGAGCAGATTTATTTGTAACTCTTTGATGAAATGTCCTAGTTACTTCAGAAACAAAGACTCTTAAAGGGAGTCACAATTATGTATTCACGTACCTACAGAAACACAAAAGACATTATTCTCTGAACTGGAACAATTAAGTGACACAAAGTCACTGTGTGTGTAGCATAAGATATTTAGTAAATTCCTTCAAGAAACATTCATCCTGGGCCAGCAGATGGCATGGAGATTAAGGTAGATCCCTTGAGGGGGCCCAGAAGGTGGCTTGGTGGTTAAAGACCTGGTGGCTTGCTTTCTCACTTTCCCTCTCTTTCTCTGCTCTGTCCCTCTCTGGTCAAATTAAAATAAATACATAAATAAATGTTAAATAAGGTGGGTCCCTTGAGACCAGCAAGTGGCTTGATGGCTAAGGTATTAGACACTCCCACTTGTCTGACTGCGGTTCAAGCCCTGGACCTGGTGGCTTGCTTTCTCACTTTTTCTCTCTTTCTCCTTCTGTGTCTCTCTCTGGTCAAATTAAGATAAATGAATGAATAAAATTAAGTAATTGTGGGACTAGCAGTTAGCATAATGGCTATGTCGCTGAACTCCCATGTAGCCGACTGTGGTTCGAGTCCCGGACCCAGTGACTTAAACTCACGCTGGGTGCATGTGCATGAGTGCCCAAGATCCCGAGGAGAAAGAAGAGAAAGGATTACAGCATGGCCATCCCCCTGAGGGGGTAATTTCTTGCTTTCTGTCTCTCTGTCTCTCTCTGTCTTTCTGGCGAGTGCACACGCCCTATAGCAAAAACCTCTCAAAAAAAAAAAGAATATGTTTCATCCAAATTCACCTCTCATTACTATTAAAACTGTAGGATATTTGCCTAAGAGGTAAAGAATTTTTAAATTGTTGGGACTAGCTGTTAGCATAATGGCTATGTCACTGGACTCCCACGTAGTCGACTGCGGTTCGCGTCCCGGACCCCGTGACTTGAAACTCACGCCAGGCGCATGTGTGTGTGTGCCCAAGATCTCGAGAGGAGAATGGAGGATAAGGGATTGCGACGTGACCATCCCCCCTGGGGGGTGATTTCTCACTTTCTGTCTCTCTGTCTCTCTCTGTCTTTCTGGCGAGTGCACACGCCCTATAGCAAAAAAACCTCTCCAAAAAAAAAAAAGAATTTTTAAATTGTTCAAATGATGCTGATATAAAAAATAGGGCTGGGGCCAGCAGGTGATATGGTGGGTAAGGCACTGAATTCTCACATGGTCAACCACAGTTTAAGTCCTAGACCTGGCGGCTTGGAAATCACGCCAGGCCTCTGTGTGTGCATTCCCAAAATCCAAAGAGAAGAATGGAGGAAAGGAATTTTGGCATGGTCATCCCCCATGGGATGTGATTTCTCACTTTCCCTCTCTCTAATGAATGCACATGCCCAATAACAAAAACTTAAAAAAAAAAAAAAAAAAGACACTACTGGTGGGAACTCCATAAGTTGGATATTATGTTAAAATTTTGTAAATATGATGATACGGCTATTGCCTATCAAAATATGGACTTCTTCACTTAAAAAAAAATAGCTCTTCATTGGTTCGATTTCCTTTGTTCTTTGCCTCTTGTACTTTGTTTTCTTCTAACTAGGATAAATTGATGAGCTAAGAAAAAGGATGGCATCTACAATAAATACCAGTTTCACTTTGATTCCCAGCCAGAAATACAGACGTAGTAATCGTCGATCCAACTATTTTTCCAACACATTTGATTCAGATTATCAGCTCTTATCAACGCTTGGAAATTTTAAAGCCTTGCCATTGGAAATATTTCAAATAATTTTAAGATATTTGTCAGGTGAGATTTGGGGACTACAAGTAGACTACATAAGAAACTAGAATATTTTTACTTTTTCCAAGAAGTAGTTTATCATCTTGGGCTCTGCTAAAACTTTATGGTTTTCATGTTAAGTTTGTTTTGTTTTTCTTTTTTTATAGATAAATTATTTTTTTAATTATTTAACTTTATTTATTTTAGTTTGACCATAGAGAGAGTGAGAAAGTGAGAAAGCAAGTTGCCGGGTCCAGTACTCAAACCGCAGTCAGCCACATGGGAGTCTGGCGCCCCTGACCACCACACCATCTGCCGGTCCCTATTAAGTTTATTTTCTAAAGATTGAGGCATGACTATCCCCCCGAGGGATGATTCCTCACTTTATATCTCTGTCTCTCTCTGTCTTTCTGGTGAGCGCAAGTGCCCTGTAGCAAAAACCTCCAAAAAAAAAAAAAAAAAAAGAGTTTCTCTCTATATATAATGACATAGTAACTTGATTGTTACATCCCAACATGTTTCTGAGTCATTGAGAACTGGATTTAAAACATTTTTAAGATTTTTTTCCTCTGAGCTTATTATTATTATTATTATTAATGAGTTAACTTGGGACCAGCAGTTGATGTAATGGCTGTGTCACTGGACTCCCATGTAGTTGACCACAGTTCGAGTCCCGGACCCGGTGGCTTAAACTTACACCGGGTGTGTGTTCATGCATGCCTAAGATCCCTAGAGGAGAATGGAGAAGAAGGGATTGGAGCATGGCCATCTCCCCTGGGGGGGAGTGATTTCTCACTTTCTGTCTCTCTGTCTCTCTGTCTTTCTGGCAAGCACATGTACCCTATAGCAAAAACCTTTCCAAAAACAAAAAAGAGTTACCTGTTAATATTAATGATGTTCTTGCATTTAAGCTGTTCATACACATATGTATATATATCTATATATATATTTATATATATATATATCTATTTCTTTTGGTAGTGAAGGATATCAGCATGCTAAGCATGGTGTCCAAAACAGTCAGCCAGCACATTATCAATTATATCTCAACTTCATCAGGAAGCAAAAGACTTTTACTACAGGATTTTCATAACCTTGAGCTGCCTGGCAGGAGTCAAGACTCTGCTATACTGGAGCACTACAGATCTCTAGGTAATTTATATCATGAGAAATGCAACAAGAAATAAGTTTAATTAAGAGGATTTTATTATACAATCCTGTAAAGCTAGTGGGAAACAATATTTCCTAAAATGTGCCTGTTTCTGTAATGCTTTTATACTTCACTGTGAGAACTTTCCCTTCACAATAGTCCCATACATTTACCTTTAAGAAAACATCTTCAATATAATCAGTCCTTGTGATTTCACATGGATACAATGTCACCTACACTTTTTGTCATGTGGCTTACCATTTTAGGAAATTGATGTACATTCTATGCTTCATTTCTTGTGAATCTAATGAGTTTTATCTCTGTATCTCTCCCTTTCAAACTCAATATCCCTAGAGGAGAATGGAGAAGAAGGGATTGGAGCATGGCCATCTCCCCTGGGGGGGAGTGATTTCTCACTTTCTGTCTCTCTGTCTCTCTGTCTTTCTGGCAAGCACATGTACCCTATAGCAAAAACCTTTCCAAAAACAAAAAAGAGTTACCTGTTAATATTAATGATGTTCTTGCATTTAAGCTGTTCATACACATATGTATATATATCTATATATATATTTATATATATATATATCTATTTCTTTTGGTAGTGAAGGATATCAGCATGCTAAGCATGGTGTCCAAAACAGTCAGCCAGCACATTATCAATTATATCTCAACTTCATCAGGAAGCAAAAGACTTTTACTACAGGATTTTCATAACCTTGAGCTGCCTGGCAGGAGTCAAGACTCTGCTATACTGGAGCACTACAGATCTCTAGGTAATTTATATCATGAGAAATGCAACAAGAAATAAGTTTAATTAAGAGGATTTTATTATACAATCCTGTAAAGCTAGTGGGAAACAATATTTCCTAAAATGTGCCTGTTTCTGTAATGCTTTTATACTTCACTGTGAGAACTTTCCCTTCACAATAGTCCCATACATTTACCTTTAAGAAAACATCTTCAATATAATCAGTCCTTGTGATTTCACATGGATACAATGTCACCTACACTTTTTGTCATGTGGCTTACCATTTTAGGAAATTGATGTACATTCTATGCTTCATTTCTTGTGAATCTAATGAGTTTTATCTCTGTATCTCTCCCTTTCAAACATAATCCTAGTCCTTAAAAATAGAAAAGAAACTTAAACACATTATTGTGGAAGTCATTTATTTTATTAGAAACTATGCTTTTCTTTCCTTTTTTAAAAGCACTCTACACATTTACTGATAAATCATTACATTACAATTAAATTGACCTTATCAAAGGAAATTCTGTATATTTTCTTCTCTGATTTGTAATCATTTATGTCTTTTAATCCATTCATTGATTTTATTCTCTATAGACTGCTGAAATGAAATTCTAATTTTGGCTTGACTAATGACACCAATTTAATTATGAAACTACCTTCATAATTAACCAAAGCATGGCAACGAAATCAAATATCAAGATAATGTTGAGATTTAAATAAATGCATAGTATTAGGTTATTGGGAAAGTCATAACATGTTGTTCTATGCAAAAATGTGTCAAGACATTCCCAACAACGAAATAGTAAGTTAAGTGAATATTGCCTTTTAGTGGCCCCAGGATGAAATAAGACTGGGACCCGCAGATAGTGTAATGGTTACATCGCTGAACTCCCATGTAGTCAACCACAGTTCGAGTTCCAGACTGAATGGCTTGAAACTCACACCAGGTATATGTGAATGTATGCCCAAGATCCTGAGAAGAGAATGAAGTAGAAGGGATTGTGGTGTGGCTATCCCCCCAGGGGCTGATTTCTCTTTCTGTCTCTCTAGCAAGCTCATGCACCCTGTAACAAAAATCTCTCTAAAAAAAAAAAGGCTGGCAGGTGACGTGGTGGTTAAGGGCTCTGGATTCCCAAATGGCCTACTGTGGTTTCAGTCCCAGGCCTGGCAGCTTGGTTTCTCACTGTCCTTCTCTCTCTCTCTCTCACTCTCTTTCTCTCTCTCACACTTTGTCTGTCTCTGGTCAAATTAAAATAATTAATTATTAATTAATTAATTAATTAAATAAAATAATTCAAAAAATAGTTTCATCATATTGTTGATTTTTGTTTTAGTTTGCTATAGGGTGTATGGGGCTCACCAGAAAGAGAGAAAGAGAAAGTGAGAAATCATCCTGGGATGAGGAGTGGCCTTGCAGTAATCCTTCTCCTCCATTCTCCTCTTGGGATTTTGGGTACATATGCTGTGTGATAATTGCTTTTTGTTGCCTCCCATTATGAAAATCTTTTTTCAAATATCATTAGTTGCAGGGGAAGTGATGCTTTGTAATAGAGCTTATCTTTTGGTTTTATTCTATTGATACAATAGCTTTTTTTTCCCCCCTCCCTGACCAAGTCTCAATTGCTTAAACAAACAAAAAGGTGTTAAGACATTATGTGGATAATTCAACTAAGAATACAAATATATAGTAGCTTATTTTTGGAAAGATTTTTGCTCTAGAGTGCGTGCACTCACCAGAAAGACAGAGACAGAGAGACAGAAAGCAAGAAATCACCCCCCATGGGAGATGGCCACACCACAATCCCTTCTCCTCCATTCTCCTCTTGGGATCTTGGGCACGTATGCACACGCGCCTGGTGTGAGTTTAAGCCACTGGGTCCAGGACTCGAACCACAGTCAGCTACATGGGAGTCCAGTGACATAGCCATGACACCAACTGCTGGTCCCTGTACTAGCTTTTTAAAAGTTTATTTTCTTAAGTGACAGAGACAGAACACCCTCAACAGGGTCCCAATACTCCAATCCACTCCCAGCTTTATGTAGCCTTAAATCTGTGTGTGCCCAGCTTACTTAAGGAAGTCTCCATATGCAATCCTGGAACCTTCCCATGTAGGTCAGTTTCAGAGAACAGCACATGTTACCACTGCACCACTTTCTGGCCCCTTAATAGCTGACTTTTTAAAATGGTTTTACTTATGGAGTAATTTCCACCTTCCTTTTCATCTTGATGCAGACACTAGGCTGATACATTAGGTTAATATTTGATATACTTTCTAGTTTCTCATGTTGCTGTTTCTATCTTATCTGTCCTTTTCAGACATTAAAATAACATTTTCAGAATCCTGTGCTGTGGAGATTATAAATTTTAATTTGCTTCTTCATACAAAACAGAGCAGATGGCCAATAAGGAAAGAACATTGTATCTGACTCTATTTTAGTGGGAAAAATTTTTGAAAAGTTAGTCTCTAATGTGTAAGGCAAAGCACCTGTGTTTATAAATAAATAAATAAATAAATCAGCTAGTACTAGGTTTTATGGTAAATTTCAATCCTTAAAAATAGAAGTTGTGGGACCAGCAGCTGATGTCGCTGGACTCCCATGTAGTCGACTGTGGTTCGAGTCTCGGACACAGTGGCTTAAACTCACGCCAGGCGCTTGTGCATGAGTGCCCAAGATCCCAAGAGGAGAATGCAGGAGAAGGGATTATGGTGTGGCCACCTCCCCGGGGGATGATTTCTTGCTTTCTGTCTCTCTGTCTCTGTCTTTCTAGAGCGCACACACCCTAGAACAAAAACCTCTCAAAAAAAATTTTTTTTGAAATAATAATTTTTTAAAAATAGGAGTTGTGGGGCTAGTAGGTGGCATGGTCGTTAAAGGTGCTGTACTCCCACGTGGCTGATCACAGTTTGAGTGCTGGACCTGATGGCTTGCTTCCTCACTTTCCCTTGCTCTCTCTGTCTCTCTCTGATCAAACTTAAAAATAATAATAAGTAAAGTTAAATCAAAAAAAAATTTTTTTTTAAATAGGAGTTGTGAGCCAATAGGTAGTATGGTAGTTAAGGCGCTGGACTCTCACATGGCCGACCATGGTTCTAGCCCTGGACCTCGAGGCTTGTTTTCTCACTCTCCCCTCCCCATCTCTCTCTGGTCAAACTAAATAATAATAATAATTAGGGGCCATTAGGTAGCGTGGTGGTTAAGGGCACTGGACTTCACATGACCGACTGTGGTTTGAGTCCCAGACCCGGCGGCTTGCTTTCTCATTTCCTCTTTTTCTCTTTCTCATATTTTCTCTCTCTGGTCAAATTAAAATAAATAAATAAATAAAGTTAAATAAAATAATTATATAAAAATAATAAAAAATAAAGTTGAACAGATAATTCTTTTAAAAAATAAAACTCATTTTTAAAAGTTTAAAAAAAAATAGGAGTTGTAGGGCCAGCTGGTGGCATGGTGGTTAAGGTAAAGGCAACTGGGTCCTACATGGCTGGCTATACTGTATGAGTCCTGGATTGGCACCTTAAAAGACACACCAGGCACACATGTGTGCATGCCCTACATCCCAAATGGAGGAAGTAATGGAAGAGAAGGAATTGCAGTGTGACCCTTCCCTACAAGGGGTGATTTCTCACTTTCTACTCTCTGTGTCTCTGGTGAGCAAATGTGCCCCTGGCAAATTAAAAAATATAT